CCGATGGAATATCAATAGCATTCCTATGCAACAAAAAGCTTTTAACCAATAGACAAGAACATACACGCACATATATATGTATATGAGAATATATCAGGAGTTGTGGTTCATCACAACTGTTATCAACAAATGGGACAGGGTATGCACACATATTAATCTTGTGCGTTGGTCGGCCAGATTAGAAATTACGCACTTCACTCCAGCGAGTGGAGGACAAATGAAACGAAACGCGAACTACGCAGCGAGGCCAATTTGGCCATTCCACGTCACGGGATGTAGACAAATCAGTTGGCAGCCAAAGCAAAAAAGGAGTCTCTGCCTGTGAGTACTCAATGAATACGACACGGACACCCATTGCCATTGCAGTGTCATTAACAGCATCTTTGTATGAGTATGAGTATGAGTATGAGTATGAGTATGAGTATGAGTATGAGTATGAGTATGAGTATGAGTATGAGTATGAGTATGAGTATGAGTATGAGTATGAGTATGAGTATGAGTATGAGTATGAGTATGAGTATGAGTATGAGTATGAGTATGAGTATGAGTATGAGTATGAGTATGAGTATGAGTATGAGTATGAGTATGAGTATGAGTATGAGTATGAGTATGAGTATGAGTATGAGTATGAGTATGAGTATGAGTATGAGTATTGGCTCATAATTTATCTATACCTCTTCTCGTTCGGCTAAACTTTACCATTTAAAAAAACCTCCGCTGTTTGGTAAAGACGCAATTCATGGAGCTTAATGAACAGTCATGAATTTATTTTGCGTTGTTAGCAATTTGTGGAAACCTCAAACAAAATGTTTTCAATGCAGTGCTAGCCAAATGGAATTGATTTCATCGGGCATTCAAAACTTGCGGCTAAATTTAGACACAATGCTTTAGAGCAGCCCAGTGGGTGCATGCCCGTGTGTGGGCGTGTGGGCGTGTGGACGTAGCTTTGCATGTGGCATTAAGGCCGAAATCTTGACTTAAAAGGCATAGCGTAAGTAAATTGTTTTGGCCACTGGCTTCAAAGTGCGCCAAATTTCATGCCCAATTAAATGTATATAAAGATACGCCTTCGACCCTCGTCACCTTGGAGGCATTTGCCATCCTATTTGAAAGGAGTTCAAATACCTATGAAAGGGCAATGCCAGTTGGCTCGCAAACAACTTGTGACGCTTTGATTTATCAGAATTCAAGCATTGGCACAAGGTGAAAATTCCGCCTGGTCTGAGACAACACATAAATTTGAACCCATTTGGCCAACAATTTAGTGACAAGAATTAACACCTTAATCAACTTAAAAAAATACATGCATTTCAAACTGTTTGTGTCTTTGAATAGTCATCCATAAGCATTATTTAGGAAGTTCACAATTCATACTTTTTGAATCATAATCTGATATATTTGTTAAGGCAAAGTTTTTGTTTAGCCAATGTCAACTTTATGAGCAGCTACATTTTTCTTTGATGTTAATTATATTCCAATGAAATGAAATGCATCAAAAACAATGCTGACTTTGAATTTTGCCTTGCACATGACTTAGATGTTGAGGCGTCGGACTAGCTAGGGAGAGGTCTCCGGTTCAAATTCAGCAGCAATAATATTAAATTAAAAACGTATATATATTTAACAATAATAACTGAATTTAGAATTTTTCAATCTAATAGATGGTAGCCTTTGTGTGCGCCTTAAGTTGGCACGAATTAAAAAGTCACTTAGCCCTCGGCTTAAGCAACTTATCAAAATACGCGCTTCGCATTTTTCACAGTGTACCCCTTTGCTGACCCATAAAATCTCATCAGACGCTTGCTCAAATGTGTGTGAACTGTTGAGCTAAGACATCACCCAAGCAATTTGGCCAACATGATTTCGGAATTTTAACACAGAGCACAGCACTCAAGGCGAATGAGTGCTGAGCGCGCGCTTTGAACTAAGTAGCTCAAATTGGTTTGCAAGAACCACATACATAAGTATGTATATACAACATTTTTCAACCTACGTATTTTTCCGACTATTCTGTTATGGGAATTAGCTAGAAAATCCTGCATGGATACGAATAATACTAATGGCTCTGTTTGGAGGAGACCAAAAGACAGAAGGGAGTCTTAGTTATTAGCTTGTATATGAAATCAGTTCATATTTTGAATTCATCTACAGCGATTGTCTCTTATTTGAGGTACAGGTAAAGCGATTAAAACTAGTTGTTGAGCGATTAATTTAAACTTAATCTTTCCAACAAGGCATATATCGAATTAGAGCTGCACTGATTCCCAAGAAATATGATTATCACTGCCATCGGGGGGGCTCTCAATCATTTGCTTGGCAGCTCTGGCCCATCCGAAGTGTTTTGATGAAGCGTTCCATTTAACTGCTCATCATCATTGGAGCAAAATGGTTGCGGTGGTGCAAAGTGGTTAAGGAACTCTCCTGCTGTGCTTTTGGTCATTGAACTTTGACGTGTCACCCGGCAACCCCAGCTGTTCGAGTATTTTTTTGGTTTTTTTTCTTCTAATACTGGCGGCATACCAAGGTCATAATTATGTCGAGCTATTCCCATATACACGCTCTCGCACACACCCACATGCACACACGCACACACGCACACACACACACACACACACACACACACACACTATCATTGACATTTGTAATCTGCCATCATCGGACATGGAACACGATTATTGTGCGTTCATTTGTGGTTATGGCGTCGCTATCGTGCCTATGGTGTCTATTCCCTCGTACCCTGCACAAGGGTATAATAAGATTGACGAAGCGTTTGTAGCGCACAAAAGGAGACATATAAGAGTCTCCGAGGCTATATGAGCCACATTGAGTTATTTATTTACAGCCATTTCTTTGACTTCAAGTACACGTATACTCTTTTTCGATATTGCAATGCTTCAGACCGATCGGCAGATAAACAATAAGCCAATTTTAAACAAAGTCAAAACCAAGGTTTTGAACCAAACCACTTTGAACAAGGAATTGCAGTATTTTGTTTATCCCAAATTGAACCTCGAATCGGATTAGAAAAATGTTTAAATACATTAAACTGAATTCTTTTATTTAACACTAATTGAACCACAACTTGGCTTGATAGACGTGGAATACCATTAACGAACTCTGAACCGAACCATCGTAGGTTGTTGTTGTTATTGGGCTTGCATGGACATGCTAAAACATTTGTACAGGGCATCTCCTAGTCAATCACTCTTCTGTAGAGCATTCTTACTTGTTTTGTTGTTGTTCTCGCTATTGTTGTCCACGTGCGCCGTTAGCTGGCTAATACAATTGCTGAATACATCAATTAATCGAGCATTCTGTGGAATCGTTTATCCGACGGGGGCACTAGTCATCGTGCTGGTAATTTGGCAGCGGATGGGGAAATCAATGGTTGGTTCCCAGGCGGAATGTTGTGTAAGAAGCAATTAAAACACATGGACCACATCCAAAATAGATACAAATACACTTGAACGTATACAAATGCTATAAATTGTGTACCGATTCGCATTCTCCATTCTAAACGTTTGCACTATCAATCGAAGTAGTTGCCAAAAAAAAAAAAAAAAAAAAAGCAGCCAAGCCTTAACCGAACTGGATTATATTCAATGTTATTCAGGATAAGCACTTAACCATATTTCGATAGAACTGAGCGTTCGACCCTATTAGCAAAGATTGTCTAAAAAACTGTACAAGACTCAAGCAAAAACCAGAGCTCATGGATGTGGAAAACCAGGTTTACGAAGAGAGCCTTGAACCAAAGCAACAGCAAATTTGTATTTATTTTATTCATTTTTTGTTGCATGCAAACGCGGCCTATATCCTTCAATCACTAGGGACCCTGGACCTGTGTCTGTGACGGTGATTGTGACTGGATTCGTGTTTTGCGTGCTGTTAACAAGTTTAATTAATTCCTTGGTCAACAAGTCCTTCACTTCGCACAGCTCCCACAAATTGTGTTTACATGTCTCGATGTTTTCTGCGCACACTTAGAAATAATAAAAATAAACAAACAAAAGTACGAATTAATTATTTTCAGCAAAAAGTGCGGCCGAGAGAGAGAGAGAGAGAGAGCGAGAGAGCGAAAAATAAGAAAAGAAAAAAAAGCACACACTTCTTTAAATGTTCAAATGGGAATGTACTAGAACAATTAATTGGCTTTCACAAATATAAACATTTAATCTATATTTATAACACGGCTTGTTGATATAAAACTAACTGACTGACTGACCGACTGACTGAGTGACTGATCGGCTGGTTGATTAATTACGGGATGCGTTAATTGACTTAAGAACTGATTGAATGACTAGCTGATTGATTGCTTAGAGGACTGATTGACTAACTGGCTGATTGATTGACTAAAAGTCTGACTGACGAACTGAATGGTTGATTGACTGGCTCACTTATTGATTGACTAAGGGACTGATTGACTGACTGCCGGCTTGATTGACTTAAAGTAGCATTAATCAACTGGGTGATTAATTGACTGACCGTAGGCTTGATTGACTAAAGACCTGATGATTCACTGATTGATTGACAAAAAGAGTGATTGACTAACTAGCTGATTGATTGACTAAAGGAATAACTGACTAATTGATTGATTGAAGAACTCAATGGCTAACTGGTTTCAAATATAAAACGGAAAACTAAAATTATATTATTGTATTTTGCCTTCCGTTCGAATTTAAATTCATATATCCTTGCTCCAGTACACCATTCGGCGGTATTCAAGGCGAACATAGAAATATTCCATACACATTTCTAATTGAATATGAGCTCAAATTTTGATAACATTTTTGTGGATGGCGTGCAGGTGTGCTAATTGCTGGCCAGGCGGTTGCCAGCCAGGGGCGTGAATGGGTGGGGTAGAGTCGGTCGTATGGTTGCCAGGCAACGACCCGGCCAGGTAGTTGACGTAAACAAAAGCGAAGCCAACGGGAGAACCACAACAAATAAGCTTGAAAAAATGTGCATAATTTGGCAGGAGGCGTCGCGTACGCAGCTGAAATTGTGTGTTCGCAGCGAAAGAGCAAGCAGGATGTCCTTTAAGGATGTGCGAGGTGAGTGGTCTCTAGGATGGTTACCGCAAACTCATCCCTGCCCGGGCTTTCAGATCTGGGCGAGCATCTCAAATTGCTGGGTTTTCCCCGAGTCTTTCCGCTGCAGGCGCTTGCCACGCAGCACGGCAGCCTGGCGAGCTTTCACATCGTTGCCGAGCTGCTGCAGTGGCTGGCCGGACTGCTGGAACCAGGTGCTGTGCTTGCCGGCGGCGTGGAATCGGAGGAGCAGCGTGTGATGCTCATACGCTCCGCTACCGAGTTTTTTCTGACCAAATCGGCCATACGACTGAATCCACGCAAGCTGTACGCGGCGGCTGCCGTCAGTGCCACGGAACTGCAGAAGATCACACGGCTGCTGATTGCGCCCACGCAAGCGGAGGAGGGCGAGGATCGGGAGGAGGAGCGCGAGCGTGAACAATATCGCAGTCTCAATCAGGTGGATATTGGCGACAAAATGGATGAGCTGCGTCGCGCTCGTGAGCTATCCTCGGACCTAACCCAACGCGGCGCCGCCCTCTTCGATCTACTGTCTAAAGAGCTGGTTAACAAGGAGGCGCGCCTCGCCCAGGCGCAACGTCCCATGGAGCTACTCGGCGTGGAACGCACCATGAAGAACGCCATACAGGCCAACCAGCTGAAGTTGCAGTCCAGTCGCGCCCAGCTGGAGAATGCCCGCGTCGAGCTGAATGCACTCAAATCCAAATTGCAGCGCAAGCGCGCAGAACTGGAGCGCACCAAGCAGCGGCTGGATGCGCTTCAGAAGATTCGGCCCGCCCATATGGCTGAGTTTGAGGAGTGCGAAAAGGAGCTGCAACAACTGTTCCAACGCTACTTTCTGCGACTACATGTGCGCGATGCGCTGCGAACTCAGATGGAGATGCGCACCAAGCGCCGTGCCACGCCCATCTCATCGCCATTGCTGCAGAAGCCGGCTGAGAATTCGATGCCATTTATACCAGAAGGCCTGATCGAGGACGATGACGACGACGACGAAGACAACGATGATGATGAGGCTGAAGGGATGGGCAGCGGATTGGCGCGTGAGAGCTCCTTTGGCCTAGACTCGGAAATACCGGATATACGTGACGAGGATCTGATGCTGCAGCGCAGCAGAGCAGCTAAAGCCGGCTCAGCGGCGCCGAGCAAGCGTCCCGGCACGGCCACCTCACGCATACGTCCCACAACTGGACGCACTCGTCGAGAGACTGCAGCGGCAGCTGCGGCTTCCTCAAGCGGTACACCGGCCACACGCAACGGACGCAATGGTCCAGGCAGCAGCATGCTGAACCGCCGCGACGAGGACGACAGCAGCTTTGGCAGCTCCGACAGCGAACTGGACGTGGGTGACATTATGGGCATGAGCGGGCTCAGCGGCGCCGCTGGCACTGGCGACGATGAATGTGAGTATGAGTCCGAAGGGCAAGTGCATTGAAGTAGACTTAATCCTCTCTGTCCCATGTCTGAACAGTCGATCTCAACTCCATCGACGACATTAGCATATCGAAGCTAACGGGTGAGCTGCCGATGCGACCCAAAACAGCCAGCAAGCCGGAACACCACAGCGACGAGGACTTCTAGCCAGATCCAACCAGATGATGAACTGATGCACTGATGTACCAATGCTGGCCGAATTTTCTATGTTTATACGAGCATACTTTATTCGTTTATTATGCAAACACATGCCTACAACTAGATGTATTTATTTATGTATGCAAAAAATGTGCATATAAAAAAAATAATAATATTAATAATGAGAGAAACGGGCTCTTGGACAGCCGCTGAATGGGCGGGCTGGCAGTTGCTTGGGGGAAGCTATTTACAAAAGTTGCTGAACATCAATCGAGGCCACTAGGATTGGGGCTCACATGACGACATCGCGGCACACAATCTTCGCTTTGGAGGAGGCACGCGAGCCGGCAGCTGGTTTTTGGCCATAGACATCGCTGTGCGCCGAGGACGTCGATGAGGAGTAGTCAATGTGGCTGCCCGCCTGAGACTGTTCCTGGCGTGCCAGGAAACTGTCCGCTATCGCGCGATCCAGGCCCGTATACTGAAAATTGGGGGCACCATCTAGTACATCCGCCTCGGACTTGCGTCGCTGGCGTCGATTCACATCCGATTTGCCTGCACGACGACGCCGACGCTGGCCATTCAACTCCGCCGACTTGGTGCTCTTGTGTGTCCGATAGGTGCCCGTTAGGCTGGCGGGATGCGCATAAAGCACTGAACCCGGCCGCATGTAGGGCAAAGTCATGCCGCGATACTGTGGCGGCGGCACTGGCAGAAGCATACCACCTCCTAATCCTGGTGGTGCGGGCGGCATGCGTGTAGGCCGCGGAGGTGCCTGTAGGAGGAGATCAAATTGGATTGGATCATACACATACATATGTATATATGTATATAATTATGAATATATACTTACACCATTACCGGCAGCTGTGGCTGGTATGAGCATGATGGAACGCGATGGTGGTGTCAATTTGCGCACCGAAGGCGGCGGCAGGCTGTCCATGTGGGTGGCATACATCCACATGGCCGCAAGTTTCTCGTTGTTTACCTATACAAAACGGATACAATGTTTAATTGAAATTTAAACTTGGCCTGAAACTAGTCTTACCTTTTCGCTGCCGTTAAGTGACATGGCCTTTATGTATTGATCCACCTTTTGCTGATCTAATGCAATGCCCGATGCGTTCGACTTGATGATAACATCGCGCAGTTCGCTATGTGGTGATCTGCAAGTATACAAGAAATTAACATGTTACCAATTTTTTTTTTAAATCCTGAAACGGCACATGTGGCGCCATCTAGAGTTAAAACCTAATATAGGTGTATCGCAGTATCGTACAATAAATATCATCAGTACGCCGATAGTTCGATATGCATTTATAATTGCACTCCCATCCCTAATTACCTAGCAGCTGCTTCTTCTTCTATTGTTTTTCATACAAATTCGTCAGCAAGAGAAAATATTAAATCGGCTTCGGTAAAAGGTGAAACATGCGAAATCAGTGCTAAAGGCTCATATTAATCAATTATAAACTAATCATCCCATGCGTGCGGGCACCTGCAATCATCAAGTGTATCACAAAGTATTGATTTTTACAACATTAAAGACAAAACAGATAAATGGGCTGATTGTTGTTGTTGATGTTTCTTTTGGTCGGTGGAGCAAAAGAAATCAAATTGATCGATAACGTGCTGGCAATTCTATACGATAGTATTCGACAGTGTGTGCGTTCAAAATATCAAAAGTAAACAATCAAATATAGGAACAACTTTTTTTGTAGCACGCCAAACAAGAGAAACAAGAGCCCAGTCGATAGTGGCCAAGCACCAATCGATAATAAAGTTGCCGCAATCGATTCATAATCAAAGCACACAAAGAAAACAGAGAGATAAACCAAATCCAGCAGCTAGCTGCGTGTGAATTTCATTTAACTTTGTATTTTGACGCACTCTTAGCCGCAGTTTAGAGATAAGAGCGGAATAGGGACCGAGCAGAGTCGACAAATTGCAAACATCGACATATAAAAACAACAGCAAGCTCGCCACGTCAGTGGGAGTGAGCGAGAGGCAGCACATAAGTGCAGCAGCAGTGAGTGCGACCGACTACCGGAGGCTTTTGTGGAAATTTCTCACTCCCAATCATGTTTAATAACTTTAAAAATCGCTTCATATCGGCCATTGCGCCCGATCTGCCGCCGCTGCCGAGCAGCGAGCGGGAGCATCAACGGGGCGCACTGCGTTTGGGCTCTGGACAGCAAATGCCAGACAAGTTTCCCTATGCGAGGCCTCCATTTCTACAGCTGCTCACTGCCGATGAGCTGCGCGCCTCGGCCGATCACAACGTTCGGCCGATAATCGTACCGCGCGACATAAATCTGCTACCCTGGGGCACTGGGTACGCCGAGTGCGTCAACTCTGGCAAGTCCGAGTGGAACGAGGATCAAGCTTCCTTCTCCCGGTAAGTCACAGCCCTGTTTGCCAGTGTTGCCAAATGCCCAAAATTGCCATGAAAAAGTAAAACAGAAGGATGTCGAGCAGAATTGAAAAAAAAAAAAATTGAATATAAGATAATTATATCAAAAATTACTCTTTCACAAAAAATATTTCATTTAAACTGGAAATGTCAAAATATAAGATAAGGCAAATAATAAGTTTAAAGTAAGCTGATAAAAGTGTTGGGAGACATTTAAAATTTAAAAATAAAGCTAATGCTTTTATTTTTTTTCGGCAATAAAAAGCCTTTTAAAAAAGTAAATAATTGAAAAGTCTTCAAAATGAATCGTCTATGACTTATATTCAGCTTTAATTGTAATAAGACTAGCAGCTAAAATTCTAAACATTTTATCGTGTTCCTTGCAGACAAGTCCTTTCGGATCCGGAACACAATCATCCTGATCTGCCCTACACGTATTTTGGCATTTTCGATGGCCATGCCGGCTACGGAGCCGCATTGGCCGCCTCGCATCAATTCCATCACATACTGCACGAGAAACTGGTGGACTGCATCGAGCTGTTGCTGCCACGCGATGCGGATAGCGAGAACGGCAAACTGCAGTTGAATGCGACATTCCCTCATCCAATTTACTTTCAGCGGCGCGTCAGCAAGGATGAGCTAATTATTGGTGCCCTGGAGAGCGCCTTCTTTCACATGGATTCGCTAATAGCGCAGGACAGAGATCGGTACCGCGATGCGGGCGGCTGCACTGCCTGCGTTTCGCTTTTCATCGATGGCAAAATGTACGTAGCCAATGCGGGCGATAGTCGCGCTGTGCTTTGTCAGCGACGAGCGGGACCGGGAACGAGTGCTGGAGTGACGCCATCAACAACAACAGAGCCCAATAAGATTGAGCCCGATCCAGTGGATGCTGCGCACAGCTATCCCACGGCCTATTCGGCTGATCATACGCCGGAAACGGAACGTGAGCGATTGCTAAACGTGGCCCGCTTGAAGCCGCACCTGATGGGCAAGCAGTATGTGGCCATGGAGTATGCGAAGCGACCACATATTAAGGACATGGGCCAGCGCATACTGTGTCGCCAGGGCACCATGAAGGGCTGGACATATAAGACGCTGACGCGTGACGATCTGCGCATGCCGGTTGTCAATGGCGAGGGCAAGCGCAGCCGCTTGCTGGGCACGCTGGGCGTGACCCGTGGATTTGGTGATCACGATCTTCTGGCCATAAATACGGGCATACAGATCAAACCATTCCTAACGCCGCATCCCGATGTGCGACAGCGTGATCTCAGTCAGGTTGTCAGCATTCTCGATGAACACAACGAGGATGGTGATTATGGCATACTCGTAATGGCCACCGATGGCCTCTGGGATGTATCCGAAAATGATGCCGTCGCGCGCACCGTCTTCCAAACGTTGTCGCGATACCCCAAGGAGAAGCATCGATACACAATGGTCGCCCAGGAATTAGTAGCGCGCGCACGGGGCAAAATCAACGATTCCGGCCATTGGCGTTTGGCGGATAGCAAAGCGGCGGCTACAGTCGATGATATCTCAGTGATTGTGATACCAGTGCATCAGTATTACAAGGAGCATATCGAATGGACGCACAACTACACCCGCGAGCTGGAGCAGCGGCGGCGCAAGGCAGCCGAGGCCAATATGGCACAGGAGGCGGTTAATGTGCTCAATGGGATCATAGCTGAAGAGGCGCATGTTGTCGAAGAGCAGCCACATCCACATCCCCAACACCAGCAGCAGCAGCAGCAAGTGGTTGTGCAGGTGGAGCAGGTGCCAGCGCTGCTACGGCAAGAGCAAGAGGAGCAGGAGCAGCAGGCGCAACTTGAGCCGGAGGAAACACTCGTTGTGGAACTAAGCGATGAGACGCCAGTGCAGGCACATCTCGAAACAATCAGCCACACGATGCAGAAAGTGCAGCTGGATGCGAATGCGCCTGAAGGTATTTACATGACAAACAGCTCTCAATTTCTCAGCTAAATCTCCTTCTCCATCTGAATTACAGAAACTCCAGAGAAGACAACAGCGACGTCAAACAAGCAGCGTAACAATCGCAAGGGCAAAGGCAACAGGCAGTAGAGAGTGCAACAAAGAAACAGGACGTGTCCTTACTAAATGCTATATAGAACACATACAAATAATAAATAATTATTAACGTACACATATATTATTTTTATAAAATTCACAGTTTCTCCCACACATATACATAACAAACGTATGTATACAAAGGAGGATTCATTTCTGTCAGAGAACATGCATTGTACAATAATTTAGTGACTGAATTTATTTCTTGCTTTCTGTTTCGGTTTTTTTTTTTTTTTTTTTTGCTCTATTTAATGTCCAACTAATTTATATATCTCAAATTATGTGTAACTGCTTACTTATGTATTCTAATTAATTGTCTAACCAAGAGGCGCAGATATAAGGAAAAACAGAACAGAAAAAATAAATGTGCATAAAGCCACAAAATAAAATTAACAATTAAAGCTAAATTAAAACTAAAAAAAAAAAAAAAAAAAAAAAAAAAACTAAAAACAAATCAAAACAATGATTCCAAAACAAAAATGAATTAGTATTTTAAGCTGAGTAATAAAGTCAACAATTGTTAAATCGAGAAAAACCCAAAACAAGCCAGAACACGCTCATTTGGAATTGCATCACGATTTGAATGGTTTAAGTCGTATGACACATAGCAAGTCAAATGTTCGTTCCGCATGATAGAGGCCAGATAAGGAGTCCTAACTTGGCTTAGTTCTTATCAATTGCGCCAGAAACACACCTGAATGCGACACGTTGATAAGAAGTTCGTAGCTAGTTGTCGAATTTGTCTTTTGTTTTGTTTGTATACATATATTTTTGTTGTTGATAAATGTGCTTTCGCTAGCATATACATTTGTTTTTTTTTTCGTTCAAATTTTATTCAATTAATTTTACAAGAATTTAGAATCAGTTGATTACAATTAAAGTGTTTATTTTGGATTTGCGATTTTCGTTTGGAAGCTGTAAAAATCTACTAAGAAAATATATATGTATGTATAGCATCCATGTATGTAGGTATGCATGTGTGGGTGTGTGTGTTTGATCTGTGTGAAATGAAGTTATAACTTCAACTGTGTGTTTTTGTTGAGTGTGTGTGTGTGTGTGAGTGGTGTGCACAGCATTTTATAACAAACCGTTTCGTTTTTTTTTCAGCATCAGCTAACTAGCATATACAATCGTATGTATGAATATCAGCTAACATACATACATACATGCATATGTATGTAATACATAGGTTGACAGCACCCGAAGGCACAAAATTGTCATAAAATTTGCAAAGTTTTTAACTAACATTTATTATTGTTGCTTGTGGTTAGCATACGTTCAGTTGCACAGCGCAAAATGGTTACACACAACACGCACCCTATCAGATGATCTTTATAAGTATTCCCAGAAATGAAAATGCATTCGAAGGAAAAACAAATGCACATACATACACACACATGTATGCATATAACACTAAGCACATTATGTACATATGTACTTAATATATTCCCCCAGTTATAAGCAGTGCTGCCAATTTAGCCATTTTCAGAGCTCGTCAGCCGGAAAGAGTTGAGATTTTAAACAGATCTAGCTATTTTCATATGTATTTGGATTCAGCTAGTTTTTTTGGGGCGACAATTGGCGACACTGGTTATAGGATTTATTGGGTTACAGATACAAGTGATAAAGTCATTGCATAATTAAAATGTTGCATTAAAATGTTGTTCGATTAATTGATTTAATTAAGTTAGTTTTTGTTTTTAGCCTTCGATACGAGTTAACGACGGGAATGTCTCACATATATATAAATATGTATATGTATATGTATATAATATATATATATATATATAGTATATGAATGTAGTCTTATTTATAGGTTGTCTGGCGAGCCAATGCTTATGGGGGGCTTTAGTTGGAATTAGGCTGACTTTTGCAATCGTGACTTGAGTGGCTGCTTTATGCCAAACAATCTGTGTAATTGATTATATTATTATAAATCTTTTGTTTTTTTTTTTTGTATGTCTTAATAATTTTCGTTAATTATTTATAAGCGAACAAGTTGCATTTTAAAATCACATTTTCTTTCACAATTGTTCTGGCATCGTAACTATGGAGATTCAAACCAAGTTTCAGCTTTAAAAAGATGTTTAAATTGTGCGCTTTAGGCTTAATAAAATTGTACTTTAGTTATATTATTCACCTAATTACTTCGATTTTCCATAGGCAAAAACACTGCGAATACATATTATATCTTTGATCATATACTATATGTATATATAAAGCATTCGGCATTCTTCAATTTTTGCGCTCACCACTAACCATAAAATGCTCATTAACATCTTGCAAATCGCTTTCCAAAAATTCAATAATTTGCATTAACTATAATCAAATGAGACACATAGAAGAAGTGGGCGGGTGGGCGTGGAAGCGGGTGCAAACATTGGGTTATGCTAGTTTTGTTGAGGCAACAACAAAATATTTTTCGCGTCTTCCATATCCATATTCAAATCGACGGAAGTGCCAGTTTTCGAATGCCTTGTTCTACATGTTTGAAAACTTTCTATTTTTTTTCATTCTCTGTTTTTCTTTATGTTCGATTTTTGGTATAAATACGAGTAGCAATGCGTTATCACACATTTGTATATATATGTATATATAGATATAGATATTTACAGATGGTTAATGGTAAAAATCGTAAATGCAATTTGTTACCAAGTGCAACATCACTATGTATATAAATATATATATAAGAATATGCTAATAACATATCGTGAATATATATATTTATATATGTATATATGCATATTGGTAGGTTCATGCAAATTGACATATAGATAGTTGATAGGTATAGCACAGGCTTGGCTTGGCAGGGTGTTAAAATACTGAACAACACGTTGACGTGAACTCAAACAAAAGATTTGACATTTTGCATAGATTTAAAAGGTATTGTTTATAAACTTCTCATTTGGTTAGTTTGGTATGCATATCTTTTCTTTTCGTTTCTTTTAAATTTAAATTTTCATTTGTAATTGTAATTATTTGTAATTAATTTAACAACAATAACACGTGATGTGAAAAATTTAGCTAAGATAATTAAAATATTCACGTTCTTTGCTCGCTTTTACTTTTTTATATATATATATATATATATATATATATACTTTTATATATACATATATATATAATGTATATATATATTATATCATTTTTGAAATTTTTAGCACGATTTTTTGGCCAACATTTGAAGTTAATTTAAGATTGATTTAGTTTTGAGTGTTGCCTCCGTTTGGGCCCGGCTGAAAAACCAGCTGAGACAAGGCAAATGGGCTTAAGGGCTCGAGGAAGAACGCATACACTTGCATAGGCATTATGTAATATATACATGTATATATCTTGTATATATGTAAAGCATATGCTTAAAAGCTGCTGCTTGCACCAGGGCATGGGCACAGTTACACATGCATACACGCATGCAGTGTGAACAGACACATGTATCGTTTATATTATCGCATCTGGCATGGATGTTTTTTATAAAATAAATAACTAACACTTCAAATACTCGTCCAAATACTAGAAAGTAGCCGCGCTGCATGCAAGAAACGCCAGCGAGTGAAAAATAGGGAGTGGGGTAGGGAGCGAGAGCGCGTTGTTTTGCCTCCACGTCCATATCCATATCCTCAGACCAGGCGCAGCTTGGCGCTGGGGCAGCGCTGTCGCTTTAAACGGCATTTGTTGTTTGGCCCCTGCCGCTGGTACGGATTGACGGCGCCATGCCACTCCCAAAGGCGTTGCGGAAATGCACAGCAATGCATTAGAATACTATAGAGTTTATATATTAATTGAATTAGCTGCCGCTTAGCTTGGCGTCTCGGGCACAGCCCTAACAACAATTAGGAATGCAGATTGGCGCGATCCTTGGCACGCCTCTTCGCCAGCATCGAGAGCTCCACGGGGCCTACGTTCGCCGCCTGCGGTATTGCAATTGCCCGAAACGTTGCATCCACAGCGCCACGCAGCGCCATCGAAATGTGGTTATGCTGCTGCTGCTGTGCTCCCAAGGTCAACTGTTGGGCATTGTTGCTGCCAGCAGTCGGCTGCAGTGCGTATTCTGTCAGCTGTACAGTGCCCAAAAACTGGTCACGCACCCAACTGTGCTCCAGTATCTGCGCCACAGTTGGCCGATTCTCGGGCACAATGTGCAGCATCTGGCGCAACAACTCCTTCACCGGCGCACTAATCAGCGACCAGCGCGGGCTGCTAAAATCAATATGTCCTGATCCAATACGCTTTAAAATTACTTCCGGCGAATCATTCGGCGTGCTGGCAAACGGTGTCCGTCCCGACAGCATGATGTAGAGCAGCACACCCAACGACCAAATGTCACAGGCCAGATCGTAGCCCTGCCGTTTTAGCACTTCCGGCGCCACAAAGTTGGCCGTGTAACAGGGCGTCATCAGCAAGCCGTTGTCCGCGCGCAGCTGCTTGGCAAAGCCTGCAAATCGAATTTTTATTAGATAAAATGATATACATATGATCAAAGTGAATTGCAGCCAGTGGATGTGATATCCGCACAGTTTCATTTGGTCTTCATTTAAATATTTATGAAAGTCGCAAGCTGCATCATATTACAGGCATATTTCAGTTTCCAACAATTATTCACATTATTGCTTCAAGTTGATTCCAGTAAAACGGTTACGAATACGATTCAAAGAGTAATTGATAAATGCAAGCTATTTGATTGCACTCTTTGTCGCTGATATAAAACAGCTTTTTCATATTTGCTTAGCAAATAGCAGCAAAACGTTTAAGAAAACAAATAACTATAGAAAAATGTTTAATGCTTTTCTCCTGTTTTTGCTGTATATACATAGTATGTTTTTTCCGTTGATATCCTCATCTTTTTGTCTCCATATTGAACTGGTATAACGTTTACGAATGCGACACAAAAACAACTTTGTTTTGTATTTTTTCTTCTACTGTCATCATTTAAAAATGTATCTACATATATTTGATGGCCAAGGCTTATTTGCACTGTCTGGACAGTGAACTATCTTGGGCAGTAAAACGTTAACGATAGGAAACTAAGGACAATTGAATTTCCCTGCTTCAGCTTTAAAAGTTTGACCTTCTGTATCCTAATTCTTACTAAATACAATTTTGTCCATATTTTTAGATTAAATCAGCGTAGTTAAGAAAATAAATAAAGGATGATTTATAGCTAGGATAAAAATATTCAATAACGAAATTCAAGGTATGAATTCAATCTCGACTACATAAAAATGTAGAACAGCGTATTTCTCTGCGTTTGTTTTTGACTAGAAATATTAATAGATTTTCCAAGAAGTACAATTCGGAGAAAACTTATGTATATGCATGCCAGACTTTTTCGTGAATGAAATACATATGTACATACATATAAAAATCAACACGTTTAAAGACTTGATTCCTTGTTATTCGCTTTAACGAATAATTCTATTAATATTATGTTCCGATATTATATACATGTATTTATATAATTCCTCAACTGAATTGCTGATTGAAACCATCTATGAAGCTTTTTATGGGAATATGGCTCGAAAAGCGAAAGGTAAGTCTAGGTAATTGACACCCTTTGGACAGGCGCAAAACTTACCTAAATCGCAGAGTTTGAGTGTTTCGGGCGTTTGTCGCATGCTCGCGTAGATCATGTTCGAGGGCTTCAGATCCCGATGGACGACGCCGTGCTCGTGCAGATAGGCGACGGCGGCGGCAATTGTGCGCAGCACGGCGCTAGCCTCGCTCTCGCACATTTGGCCAACGGCCAGAATGCGATCGAGCAGTTCGCCGCCCTTAAGCAGCTCCATAACCAGATACGCGGAGCTGGTGTCCTCGTACACAGAATAGAGCGTCACGATATTGGGATGATTGCCATAGCGCAACATAATCTCCACCTCCTCCCAGCAATCCGCCGATGCAGAGGTGGCAGCTGCTACGGCCGCCTTCTCGATGATCTTCACAGCGTAGTGCTTCTTGGAGGCGCGATGCTCGCACAGGCGACAAACAGAGAATGTGCCACGACCGAGCTCCTGCAGCAGATTGTATTCGGTCTGAAAATTGCCAGGCAGAACACCAGGTAAGCTGCGCGGACCTTGGGATGCCGCCACCACTGAAGTCACTGAGGAGGCGGGAAGAACGGCGTGCAGGGGACTGACATTGTTGGAGCAGCTGATATTGGTGCTATTCTCCAGCAGCACGGGCGCCACAAAGCTGAAACCTCGAAAGATTTCGTGTGCTGATGCCGAAATTGGACCGCCAGGAGAATCGCGCGGCGACTTGGACGTGTACTCCACATCAAAGTAGAAAGCATCATCCCGACTGACCGCCGGTATAAACGGGGGACGCACTAGCTTACGCTCTAGCCGCACCCAATCTATGGTGGCGAAGAAACAGTGCGCCTTGATGTCCAGTATGCCTTGTGCGCCCGCGCCGAGGCGATTCAATGGGTTGCGCTTAAAGAGCGCTCGCAGCAACGATTGAGCCTCTGGCGAGAGATTCTCGGGCATGCCCAGTTTGGAGCGCAATATCTGATTCATAGTCTCCTGGCGCGTCTGGCCGTGAAAGGGCAGATTCCCCGTCAGCATCTCGTACATAAGGACACCAAATGACCACCAGTCGGCAGCAAAATCGTGACCCTTGCGATTGACTATCTCTGGCGCCATGTACTCGACGGTGCCGCAAAAGCTGTACGTCTTGGAGCCGTCCAGCGGCTGCTTGGACAGACCAAAGTCGGTCAGAGCAATGTGCCCGTGCTCATCCAGCAGTATATTTTCCGGCTTCAGGTCGCGATAGATGATGCCCAGCGTGTGCAGATGATTTAACGCCAGCGCCAGCTCGGCCAAATAAAACTTGACATCCTCCTCGGTAAACATGACCTCCTTGGAAAGGCGGGTGAACAAATCACCGCCACGTAGAAAATCCAAAATCAAATACAATTTGCCAGGTGTTTGGAACGCATAGTGCAGTCGAACGATGAACGCATGCCCCACATCGGCGAGAATCTTTCGCTCGTTGGTGCTGCGCACACGATCCTTGACCTTCAGTGTGGCCTTCTTCAGGACCTTCATGGCGTACAATGTGCCCGCATCTTTGCCCAGAACCTTGCGCACCAGAAACACTTTGCCAAAGCTGCCCTCACCGAGCACGCGCAACAGCTCAAATTGCGAGGGATCCGCCTTGTCGTGACCCTCTTTGACCACCTCACGCAACTCGAATTCATCGTAGCTGGCTGCCCCGTACGATTCCGAGTCGCTCAGCTCCATTTGTTCGGGTGTTTTGCTTGGCGTTATGTGATGTTGTTCGAGTGCTGCTTGCAATTGTTGTTGTTGTTGCTGCTGCTGTTGTTGTTGTTGGCGACGCTGCGATGACGTCACGGTTGTGACAGCGCCACTCTCCTCGTCGGTGGGTGTGTGCTCCATTGGTGTCACCGCGAGACTGCTACAGCCGGAGGAGGTAATCTGCATGCGTTGACGCAGCTGCAGACCCATTGTTGTTGTTGTTGCTGCTGCTGCTGCAGTTGTTGTTGATGTTGCAGTTGTTGCTGCTGCAGCACTGCTGGCATTGTCCAGCTGTGCCTGATCGGCATTGTTGTTGTTGCTGCTGCTGCTGCTGCTATTGACTTCAATTTGCTGCTGCTGTAGCTGTCTTAAATCCCTGTTGGAGTCAGCCAGTGGCATGACTGTTGCTGCCCTGTTGGCGTTCAATTGCACGTACACGTTTGTGGGCGTTTTGATGCCTTAAATTTGTTGTATTTGCTGCTATTTCTATTTCTATTGCCGTTGCCGTTGCTGTTGCTGTTGCTGGTGCTGTTGTCGCGTCTGCGGAATGGGCGCATCAAACTGGCAAAGCGTAGGTGCGAGCTTTGCGCTGCTCGCTGCTGCTGCGTTGTGCTGCTGCGTTGTGCTTTCGCTTTTATGCTTTTCACTTTGTTTCTCTTTCTTATTAATTTTTTGTGTTTTTTTCTTCTTTGGGTTTCAGTGCGTGCTAGAGATGTGAAATAACATCGAAGCATAGGTGCATCGAAGTCTAGCTGAGCTATTTTGACCGATTGATTTTTGCGCACGATTGGTTTTCTCTCAGCTATCGATGTACATCGATTATTTTTAAATAAAACCGCGCTTTTAACACTTTCACTTCCGTTAAATAAAATTACACCGAATCAAAAACATAGAGATAAGGAACTGGCAAATAAACTGCCCAAATGGTGCATATCTAGATCTCTTAAGCGTGTACATATGCATTAATTTAGAGTTAATTTACTTGGTAGTTATTGCCTGGTGAACAACAAAACTTAATCAAATCCAAAATGGAAAGTTTCTGAATAAATCAACCAAAGCAAAGACAGCAGCAAGAAGCTAAGAGCTTACATATATATTTGTATATGTATATGTTTAAAATAAGCAATTAAAGTCTGCCACACGGACTTTGAAGCCAATTTAGTTTTGAATGAATAATAATGTGTACCGATTAACAAAAGTGCAATACATTTTAAATTCAGCTTAAAATAAAGAAATGCTTATTATTATATTGGTTTATAGCAATAGCACTAAAACGCGACTCGCTGTGCAGCGAAATTCATCGTAGCCTCGCACATAGCTATCGATATATTCAAATTGCCACTACATAACTATGTTAATTAACAGCCAAAGACGCCAGCTAGCGGCTAGACTGTGCAACTATGCTAGCTGGCTATCGCAGCTATCGGTATACATGGAAATACGTTACAATCTGGTTTGAAATGAAATTTAATAGTTGAGTGTACTCACTTTGTGCAAATCTGCAGGGCGCAGCGATAAACCGAAACAATGCTAACCACAAAGTGCAAAAAGAGGGCAAATATTAGCCCGCAAGCAGCTGAAACTTCGCTATTGGCATTCATTAGGTCAAACTGCAAAACAATAACCGCATTAGCAATACCGAATAACAATGGGGTAAAGTGAAAAATTTGATGGTCGTTGCGCTCTTACCTGTTCACCCTTTTGCTCGGCCATGCGATTGAGGTCGCGCGACAGGCCCACTCCAGAAATGGCCAGCGCCAACGTGCTGCTGGCAATGCAGACCAAACTGAGCGCCAGAAAGGCCGTTTGTGTTTTGCGCATGCTGACCACGCCCAGTGAACCGGTGACGGCGGCAATCAGACCCGTCCAAATGCCGCAACCGGCCATTGACAAGGCCGCGTCGCGCACTATAAGCAGGGAGCCAAGCGCCACCAGTGAAATAGCCAAAACCAGTTGCAGTGTGCCCAGCACAATTTGCAACGGGAATGCGGAGCAGCATTCATTGCTGGCGCGACGCTTGCGCCGCACCTTTGCTGTCAGCGTGGAGCCATCGGCGCCGCCATCGCTGCTGCCGCCGCCACTGCCCCCTTTGTATTTGATGAACTCCGGCGGGCAGCGCTGCTTCTTGCTGATGCGCGAATCGATGGTGTTGCTAACGCTCTTGGCCTTCAATGCGGCTGGGCCACGCGTGGCCATTGCCTCCTCCAGTTGCTGCTTAAACTCCTCATGGCTTATCAGCTTGGGCTTCTTTGTGGCATCGTCTTTGTCATTGTCCACGTGCTGCGCATTGGCCAGCAATGTGGCCGCCGTAAGCTTCAATGGCGGCGAAGGCTTCTCATCGTAGACGGGACTCGAATAAATGTGACTCTGAGCATCCAAATGCTGGCGTGCATCCTGCTCGTGCTGCTGCAGCTGCTGCTGCTCCTGCTGTTGCGAGTCCTGCTGCAGCATGGCTATTTGTGAGTTGGTCAAACTGCCGCCGGCACCGTTGGTAGTGTTGGTGCTCTGCTCAATGGTATTGGTCACCTGCAGCAGCTCCTCGCGGTTCAGACTGCGGTCCACAATTGTGTCCATGCTGCCCGTCGTGGAGTCGTGTGAGTCTATGGTGCGTGCCGGCGAGGCCGAATGCCGGCCATTGAATTCGCTGCCGTTAGCGTTGCCCATTGCCTGGTGCGTATTGTTGTTGTTTGTCTCTGCCATGCTGACTTCACTGGCTCATTGGCGTAGTGTTGCTGCGTGTGCCGGGCGAGAAACGAAAGATCGAGGTTTAATTTAATGCCAAAAATTATTTAATACTCTGCCAATTAAATACAAAAGATTAGCGAAACAAATGCCGGCGGCTAACGCCAGCATATTGCTTAAGTCTGAATCGAGTCTTTGTGTTCAAAGCAAATACCCTAGAAAACGTGACAGCCATATGGGTTGGCTATGCTTAACTTGGAAATAGCTCAAGAATAGCAAGAATAGACCTCAGCCAAGCATAAATTATGTAATGTTAATCTGCCCTGCTATATACTCTAATAGCAGTTCGACCTGTTGCTCTGCTGTCGAAAAGGGTAGTGCACAGTCGGTTGCACCCGTTCGCAATGTTGTTTTCTTTCTTTTGTGTTGTCTTTGAGAAACTGGAATGCCATAATCTATTGATATGCTTGGAATCTATTGGCGGTTTTCGTAAACAGTTTAGTTTGTTCCATAATCAATCCGTTAAGCCATCAATCAAATTATTTAGCTTCAGTTTCCGTTTCAGTTCGCATAAATACGGCTTGCGCGCTGGTTCATTTATGTATTTGTATAATTATTCTTAGTTTTTTTCTATTTTTTTTATTTACAAACAAAACATTTGTCAACTTGTTCGCATTGTGACAGTTTATGGGCTGCTGTTGGCATTGTTTTGGTTGTTGTTGTTGTTGTTGTTGTTGCCTTGACATTTGCCAGCCTCCCAGATTTGTAGTTGTTCTGTACAACGAACCGGTTCGCACATTGTTGGCAATTAAACAACATATAAAAATAGACAAAATCGAGACACTCGCTTTGTATGTAGAGCGGGGGTGAGGCAGGGGCACAAAATGGAGGTCACATGAACTGCATGCTGCATACCATAAACATATAATTGGATATGCCACCTGCTGTCTAACTATTAACAGTCTCAAAACAAAATACAAAAAAAAAAAACAAAAACAAAGAAAGACAAACCATCTTTCGAACGCCTAGCTGACATTATAAGTGTTCATATACAAACACAATATACATATGTGATCGAGCTATGGCAGATAGTAGTTCCATGTGGATTGCGCTCATATGTCAGGAGCAGTAAGGTACATAAATGCTTACAACAAATAAAAACTCAATTCTCGATCTATGTAGCAGTTATTTGATATAGTGCTCCGATCCGACTGGCTCTGCTTCTTTTGCTGCCTGCACAAAACCAGACAGGCAGACAGACAGGCAGACGGACATGGCAATATTGACTCGGTTATTGATACTGATCAAGTATGTATATGCACTTTATTTAGCCGAATATGTCTACTTCTATGTGTAACACGTTTTGTAACAAAATTATAATACCCCTTGCTAGTTTATGAAAGTACCAAGCTGCGTTGCGAAAACCAAAGCTGTAAACTGGTTTTCCAATTTATTTTTAAGTATGAACGATACCTTAAGAAACCACTTGAAACGAAACCCGAAACGAACCATATTCTTGTTCAAATATGTTTGGCTCTAGATAAAATACAAAACTTTTAAGGAACACCCCGCCCCAAAGCATAAATAACGTGGATCCCAAGCACTGCATTTGTCAAACCATGTTTGGTAGATGCCAATTTTGGATAAAATATGTGCGGCTTAAAATATTTTAAGCAGAATATTAAAATTATATTCGTTTATTAAAATTTGAATGAATATATGATAAACAAAGATTTGAAACAATGCCTAGACTCAGGGCTGCCTTAAACCGAGTGGGTTACAATTTTTAAACAAACTACAAATTCTCTTCGAACTGCAGCCAAAGCCGAAACATTTAAATATGAGCTGATATCCACAATATATAGTTTCCAATTTGACTGCATTACAAATATTTGCTGGAATGAAAAATCTTCTAAAATAAACCAGAATACGTTTTATAGTTGCTTTAGGTTTTTAGGCCCGCATGCTTGAAATTTTCGCTATTCCTTCTACAAAAACCTTTTTGTTTTCATATTCATATAACACTTGAATATTTGTTAAATTCTCAAAAATCTGTCTAATGACAGAAAATGTTATGTATTGAGTGTCAAGGCAATTGATGTTTTTTTTTCTTTGCTGATCGAGACAAACGTTTAGCTGATATTTTTTATACTAACAACAACACTTTCCAAAGACCGTTCTTTTTATGTGAGTATGTGAGGTTGTTGCTGTTATTATTGCCTTGACAGCAATTAGGCGTAATAGACTAAGCACACACAACACACACAAACAACACACTCACACACAATTAGCATAGACAAAACAGTTGTCACATTGATTTGGGGCATGTCTCAAGACACGCCCATTGCCCACTGTTCCCACAGTCGCCGCCTGTTTAGGCAGCTGCTGCTGTTGCTGCTGCGCTTAAAAACCGCCCAAGCGCTAAACCAACAAAGCCGCAGAAAATGTCGATAAATGGGCGAACAATAAACAGCTCCGTTTCTCAATTGGCAGATACCCTGTGCATACCCTGCACTACTGTGCTTGATTTATTTAAAATTTCTATTGTTGGGAAACATAAAGTTTAAAAAAATTAAGATTTTTAAATTAATCCCAAATGAGAATTATTATTAAAATTGACTCGCTGCATTTATCGAGAGAACACTGTGCTATCGACATCATATTTCATCTGGAAATAAGTCTCATCTGATTTATGAAAATCTTCGCAAGAGCCTTGCAAATGCAGGGTATATACTTAAATGAAAATACGCGGCAAAGCGAATGAAAATAACAACAAAATGCCAAACAACAGGTTTATAAAACGGCAAGTTTTCTAGTTAATATTGTTGTTGTTGTTGTGACTTCACTTTTTTCGGCAGCAGCAGCAAGCTGCCAACGAAAGGGCAGGCAGATAACAAACAAAACGGAAACCACAGCCACAGCCACAGCAACTGAAAATGCAGCAAGAAAAGCCACAACGGGAGCGTGGTAGGCGGGGGCAGAGTGAAGATTGGAGAGAGAGGGGCAGTCACATGCCAATGCTGATGTTCGCCGTCGATGAGTTTTTCCTGAAAGTAAAATTACGCCGGCTTGGCCGCATCAACAAAAATAACAACAACAACAACATCAGCAAGTGCCCACAACAATCAACAGCTTTATCCGCAAAAAAAAGTGGACCCTAGTCGCTGCGAAGCGTCGTCACTTTCACTTGCCGTTGGACACCAAAACACACACACACACACACACACATATATATATATATATATATATATATATATATATATATATATATATACGATTTACGATACAAAAAATAACGAAACAGTCATAGTTTAGAAAAGAAAATTGCCGCGCGTAATTTGCTGCAATTAATTTACAAAACTATTTTAAAATTGAACGTAGGATTTCCTCATATCGATTGGCCTGCCTTTTGCAGCGGAACCAAGCCAAAAATAATAACAACAACAACAACAACAACAAAAATCGCAACAACTACAAGCAACAACAAGTACTTTCATAAGATTCGTATAATTTTTTGGAACGCTTGCAACGAAAGACTTAGGCAACGAACTTAGCGCGGCTGCCTAATTGTGGCATATTTAATTATGCAGCTGTGTGTGTGTGTGCATGTGTGTGTATTTTTGCGCGCGCTTGAATTTGGCAATTGCCACGCCCCCTGGTGGGGCCGCAATGCCGCCCGCACTAACAACACACAAATGGGCATGAAAATTGAAATTATAATTTGACTGCCCAAAATGTTGACAGCTCGTGTGTTGGCTTAAATTATGCATTGAATCCGTGAGTGGCAGAGCCAAATGCAAGTGTCACCAATTGTGAAGACTGTGCGCCAGCCCACGCAACAGTCATCAAGAGTCCACCCTGTGCCCCTGCCGAATCCCACTTCAATCTGCAATCTGTGCTTGGCCAGCTGCATGCGCTGCGACTTGGCAATTAGGTAATTGTTGTTTGTATTTTATACCCTCTATAGATTGAGAATGTATAAAAGGGGGTATGCTTGTTTTGAGCAAATGTATGGCCAAGATATTCTTGGCCGGAGATTTTTAATATTGAAATTATATTCTCGCAGAGAAAACAATGTCAATAAATATCGAGTTTTAAAATGAGTTTTTTTTTTAGAAACATATTTGAGATTATAAGACCTCAGACACTGCTTTTGGTATCAAGACTATAACTGCTTTAATATGCACGCGAATTTTAATGCCACGATTTGGGCCATGGTTTTTTCACTGAGAGAAAGTGAGGGTAAAAGAGGCACAGGTGCATGTCTCGGCAGATCGGGTACAGGTTCTCCTGCTGCCTGCGCTGCACAAGTTTATTTCAAATAAGCGCTAGCACGCATTCGATAAAAATCGATAGGTAGGTAGAATGCTCCGCACGGAGAACAGGATATCTCATAGTCGGACACACCCAACTAGAGCGCTCGTGTTTATTTGTTTTTTGGTCGCCCAATTGTGCAATTACTTCAACTTGGTCTAGACACATGCACAGCTCCGCCAGCTGAGATTTAAGTTAAACGATTGCATTTGCGTTTTGTATGACACTTGCAATTAAATCAATAAGATTTCGACTGTGAGATCAATTCAATGCGACTTATTCTAACGTTAAGGACTGCAACAGCAGGGAATAGCAGTAAACCGCCGTCTAACGAATTACCCAAAGCCACCCACATGCATATATTCCCAGATTGTTATTTTCAGAGTAATCAAAAACCAACAAAAAACAATTGTTTCTTTTTAGTTTTTAAATAAATGTGATTTAAAATAATAATAGTAAGAATATTTTGAAAAAATGCAATATACTAGCATTTCTTGACGCGACTTTGACTTCGTTTTCCCTGCCACGCATACAATTGATTTATTCATGTAAAATTAACAAGAAAATCTAACAACAGCCTAATTGTTCGTGTTTCATACATTACATATATTTGGAAAATTAACCTTTGTAACAACTTCCAAGACAACATATACAAATCTATTTCAGGTGTCTAATCATTTGTATATACTCCCATTCCCCATTCAATCTATCAAATAGTCTTCTGTAACAAATTTAA